AAATTCCTGGCATTACACCATGCTCTGCAGATCTGAGATGACTATCTCAGGCCATGCTGCTTATTCTACAACCACTATGCACTCAACTGCAGATAAATATCTACAGTACAAAGTAGAGTACAGGGAATGATGCATCACCTACTCTTCCTTCCTGTGCTAGTTAATCCATCCTATCCTGAACTAGTTTCCTATATCACGTTTTTGGCAGGCTGGGCAATCTTCACTGCCTAAGCTCCATGAAAGCATTCTAGATACTAAATGCAATTATGTAAAGAGAAATCTGTGGTTTTCATTAATTCAGTCTGTCTCAGCAAAATTCAATACTTGGGAGAGGAATTTTTAAAGACCTAAAAGATTCCTTGCTTGCAGTAAAGAGTGAAACAAAGAATTTACTCCTCCTCTATGGTCTCTATAATTTGCTCAAAATGTCGCTAGTGTGCTGCCATTTCAGAAGCAAAAGACTGACATAGAAATACTGGTTGATCGTTAACAAAGGTAGGAACAAACTATCCATTGCTTCAGCTTCTTAGACAAAGCTGCAAGTTATCCTATTTTGGGATGGTTCCTGCAGTTCCTGCAGTTTTGCACAAATATTGCTAATTTTGCAAAAAGCACAATTCCTGCTAATTCGAGAACTCTGCTGAGAGCACCAGTGGCAATGAGAAGAATATTACCATTCCTTTTTTTCTGAGGAAGAGACAAGCAAAGATTTACACCCTTAGTCTTGAGAAGTGGGGAATAAATTTGCTTAGGGTGAAAGTTCTGTATCTTTTATAATGCTTTGCCAGGGTCAGCGTCAGTCACTCCCTCCCCATGTCATGGAAAGCTATCCCCCACATGTAAGTGAATAAAATGTTGCAAAACAAAACCTACTTCCTGACTGGTATATTTCTTCTAAAGCTCAAAGTGCCTCTTGTTCATTTCCCAAGCAATAATTGCAAGGGATGTTCTCATAATAGTTTTCAGGTTGGTGATACATAAATTTGATTTGATTGATTGACTGGTTGATTTTGATTTGATTTTTTATATTGCCCACCTGACCATTGGTCAATGGTCACATCTTACCTTTGTGTTGCAGAGGGATGGTAGAAGAGGAAAACTACCTACCTATGGCTACACTATGCTAAGTACTGAACTGGAGAGATTCCATTGATAGTGTGTGTGAATAAACTCTTTGGTATGCCACCTAGGAGGGAAAATCTAACAATGTGGGACTCAGCATTAAAGTTGTCATATTAGATGAAGTGGCAGCAGAACCTTGGCTGGTTCTATCCTTAATTCTGTCTCTTTTTTTTCTGTCCACCATGCTTGCTCTCTCTTTGACATTGCTTACTCTATGCAAACTTTACTTACAAAGGAACCAACAAAAGTGTTTTTAAAGACTTCTGTGCAATTCTTCCCTCTTGGTCTTCCCAAAAACTTTGTTTTGTTAGTTTATAAAAGGCATTATGTCTTTAGTTAAATATTTGTGTGGCTGACTGTTGATGTCTTGATTTAAATCTGGCTTTTGATATGCTAATTGGACACTGAATAAAGCCTTTTCCCATGAAAGTGGGAAAACATTCCAGTACTCTTTTCAAAGACTAGCCATTTAAACAATGGTGCTTTTATTTATTGCCTCTGTACACTGAGGCTTACCAGTTCACCTGGGGTGACCGCTTATGCTTCTCTCTAGGAACCTAAGCTTCACATATGTGTTTTTAAAAACTCTACTTGAGAGCTTGGTAGCACTTTTAAGATATCCATTGTCCCTTCAGCAATGGCTACATTATAGGGCAGAATAAAGAACTAGACATTTGTTATATAAATTTGAATATCCGGCTCCCTGGGAAAATCAGTTATGTTGGTCATTTGAGCTAATTTTCACCCCTTATTTGAAGAAAGTTAAAATAAAGTAGAATTCATCTCTGTCAATATTGTTGGCATACAATTTCCATCTTTGGGTAGTGTCTCTCTTTCTTTTTGTAATGGCATTTCAAAATTTCAACATTTTTTTTCTTCTTCTTCTTAAATTTGCCTTTGATTCCTTTACATCAGAGGCTTTGAATATTGTTTAATTTACTTTTCAGTAGAGCTGTCAGTTGTAATCTGCAATTTAGGGCAAAAGAAAAAAAAACCTGAATAAAACAAATCCTCATTTCACAATTTAAACCTTATTGAGTCTAATTCACTTGCACGGCAAGTTTATTATTCTCCTGCAGCCTGACGTGCTTCCAATTGTAATTGTGTTGACCCTTCAATGCAGTAAATCTCCCCAGTGCTGATCAAACTGGGAAAGATAAGGCTACAATTCAGAACTTCATTAAATATCTCATTTATATTAAAAAGACGATAGCTTTGAACAGAAATAATACTTCCTACACTGTCCTCTGATTATGCTTCCCCACTTTGAAGTACTGCAAGTTTTGCAAATCCCGCCTTGTATCCATCATCCTGGGATGGGGAGATCATTGAAACATAGCATGGTTCTAGGCCTTTGGGCTTACACTGGAGTTTCTCCCATACTTCTGTACTGAAGTTCAGATTCTTGAAATTCACATTCATTAGAAGCAGTTCTGTTCCATAATTATGTACCCATAGTTTCCCAAGAGGGACGTGGTGGCACTGCGGGTTAAACCACAGAAGCCTCTGTGCTGTAAGGGCTGTAGATCTTCAGCTGTAAGATCGAATCCGCACGACGGAGTGAGCTCCCGTCGCTTGTCCCATCTCCCGCCAACCTAGCAGTTTGAAAGCATGCAAATGCGAGTAGATAAATAGGGACCACCTTGGTGGGAAGGTAACAGCGTTCCGTGCCTAAGTCGCACTGGCCATGTGACCACGGAAGATTGTCTTTGGACAAACGCTGGCTCTATGGCTTGGAAACGGGGATGAGCACTGCCCCCTAGAGTTGAATGCAACTGGACAAAAATTGTCAAGGGGAACTGTTACTTTATAGTTTCCCAAGTGGATTAGAGTCCAGACTTTATCTGTTACTGCATCGCCCCCTAGAGTCGAACACGACTGGACAAAATTGTCAAGGGGAACTGTTATTTTATAGTTTCCCAAGTGGACTAGAGTCCAGACTTTATCTGTTACTGCATATAGACACACATACACCCAGCCACTGCTAGGGCTACTGTTTTATCACAGTGGTTGTCCAAGGATGTTAAAGAGCACAGGGAAGTTCTCAACATTCACTACATTCATATGTCCCATATTTTTCATGCTGTGCTTGGAATATATGAGGATGCACTTCTTATGTGTGGCTTTGATCTTGGACTCCTGTTTGTTTAGAGCTTAAAGAAATAGTGACATAAAGTTTCCAACAATTGACTTCCAGTTCATTAGGTTGTGAACTCACTCGAGTTAACTAGGAAAGTTTAAAATGGCTTTTATACCCTTGTTCCTTCTAGCCCAGTATTGTTCCCTGCCTGACAGCAGCTCACCAGGATTTCAGTCCTACTTTGAGATGCTAGCTAGAGGATGAATTTTTTTACTTTTTGCATGCAAGTGGGAACTGGCTATGTTAGGTATCGGTCTGCAGAACCAGAGGTTCGGATTTGATCCCTACTGGGTGTCCCAGGAGAAAAGCCAGCCTGTGTAGCTGTGGACAATCAGCACAGTTCCAAGTGACCCCCTAAAGAAGGAAGGGAATGGTAAATTGCTTCTGAGTACTGTATACATAGAAAATCCTAGAAAGGGTTGCCATGATTCAGCATTGACTTGACGACACATATTACTATACAAACAAGAGCTCCGCTATTTAATTATAGCCTCTCTCCTAAACTAGATTTTGATTGACGCAAGCCCCTCATTAATTGTGTGCCCTGATAAGTGTGATCCGTGGCTAAAGTTGATGCCTGACCTAAAACTGAACTGTGGCTTAGACTTTGGAGGAGGGGGGGACCTTGTCTGTTTAAGATTATGGTTAAAATATTGAACTGTTACCTTTGCACTGGGTCAGGAGTGTTATCCGTACATTAGCCCTATGCATGTGGCATGTAGGCCTCTAGAAAAGCAAAGAAGTGGGGGAGGGAAACTCTTTTTAAAATCATCATCTTTTTGCATGCATCCAAGCATAAACATCTGTCTGCATCTTCTCCACCCTTGACTTTTCCTGGCATGCCAACTAGCGGCACCCTGCTGGGCAGGGCTTTTGAAAACCCCTACCAAGCCTGCAGGGGTTTGAGAAAAGTGGGACAAAATGCCATTTTGTGTGTGTGTAATAAAGCTGTCAAAAAGGCTGCGTGTGCCCTGGTGAAATGATGAAGCCTCTTCCCCTTAAGGTCAGAAACACTGGATGCACTTATATAGCTTGCCCCTCCCCAATGCCTCAATGACTACCAAATATACATCTTTGATCTTATTATCAGTGATGTAAAAAACCATCCTAATTCTGAATCACAGTAGAAGTTAAATATGGTGGATCGTTATTTATGTGCCTATGCCTGGCATTGGGACTTCAGGATTTTAGAGGGGGAGATCTTAAAATGATTATGAAAGTGGTTCAATCATTTGATGAGGGTTAGTAATTGGAGACCAAACTGTGTTCATTCCTTGTTTTGTTTCATTCTTTTTTCTTTCTTATTGCTGTTGCATTTACCTCAGGTCATGCAACAACAACAATCATTTCTGAAAGATTCTGCTCTGACAAGCTGTCCTCTGCTCAGTAATTTTACAATAAACAAAAAGATCTGTTCCCTGAAGTAAACATGCAATAAGGCCAAAGTGAAACATGGTGTATTCTCAAAGTGAAACATGATGCTTTCTGCATTTGGCTACCTTCCTCTGAACTGGGATGGGATCCAGCAGGCCTCCATGGGAGACGCATCGTAAAGTGGCACAGGCTGTTGGCCATTAAACAAGTCTGTCAGAGCAAATTATGATGGTCCAGGGTGAAAAGTTGTAGCTCATTTGGTGCCCAACCAAGGGCTGGCCTCAGGCAAGTTGTTGTACTTCCCCCATGCTGTTAAATGGACCTTCTCTGCTAATTTTTTCTCCTTCATTTCCATGTACTGTAGTTGGAATCACCTGGAAGTCCCCCGAGACCAGAGCTGCCGGTTGAGACAATTCTGGACGACAGGGAGCGAAGGATTTCCCATTCGCTGTATAGTGAAATCGAAGGCCTTAATGATTCGCCCACCAGGAATGCTGCCTTGGGTAGGATAATGGGTGAGTGAAGGAGACTCCGCTAATCATGTGATGTTTGTGTTAAACTTCAGTGGATTTTGATAATAGATGATGGTTGCATTGTGTATGAGGATAGCACAGAAGACTGGAAAATTGTAGAAACTGCTTTTAAAGAACACCTTTCCCCCTCTCTCCAATTTCAACATGCAGGTTTCTTAATGTGGGTCAATAAACTGATAAAATGAGTCTCGGATCATGGAGCAGGTGATAAACACAGGAATGTTTTGAAATATTTTACCCTACGTGTCTGAGGTGGAAATACACACATTATACTAGTCTATGAGGACCTGTCTGGTGCAACATCATTAAATGTGAAGTCAAAGAAAGTTATGATTAAGGATGGATAAATTAAGTTTCGCCACTGATCTCACCTTTAGTTTCAGAAAATCAGTTCAGTTCATATGAACCATGTCTAGTTTGCGCTCTGGTACGATAGTGGTTGACTGGCAAGATAGCTGATGGTGTTGGATCAGAGTGTTTCAATCTCCACTCTGGCATGGTGAGAGATCACTCAGAGGGAGTGCATGTGGCTGTTGGAGGCTACTGGCCTGCCGTCTATGCAACCGTGGGCTCACTGTGCAGTCCTAGAATACCACCTGGGAAACCACTGCTGAGTACTTTGTACCTAGAAAGCCCTGGGAAGGGTAGCCATAAGTTGAAATCCACTTGGCACATGTAATTATTTGTGATAGAATCATAGAATCATGACATTGGAAGAGGCCTATAAGGCCACCGAGTCCAACCCCCTGCTCAGTGCAGGAATACAAATCAAAGGATATCTGCCAGGTGCTTGTCTAACTTCCTCTTGAATGCCTCCGGTGTTGGAGCACTCACCACTTCTTGAGGCAATTAGTTCCCCTGTCTTACTGCTCTAACGGTTAGGAAGTTTTCCCTGATATTCAACTGAAATCTGGCTTCCTGTAACTTGAGTCCATTATTACGTGTCCCACAGTCTGGGATGATCGAGAACAGATTTTGCCCCTCCTCTGTGTGACAGCTTTTCAAGTATTTGAAAAGTGGTATCATATCTTCCCTCAGTCTAATTTTCTCAAGGCTAAACATGCCGAATTCTTCCAGTCATTCCTCGTGGGGCTTGGTTTCCAGCCTCCTGATCATCCTTGTTGAACTTTTTCCAATTTGTTAGTATCGTTCTTGAAGTGCAGTGTCTGGTGCTGAATAGAGGGGTATTAGTACCTAACAGGATTTGGAGACTGTACTTCTGTTAATGCAGCCTAAAATGGTGTTTGCCTTTTTTGTAGCCACATCATACTGTTGACTCATATTTAGCTTGTGTTCTACAACGACTCCAAGATCCTTCTTGCTTGTAGTATTGCTGGACCAGGTATCCCCCATCTTGTAACTGTGTATTTGGTTTCTTTTTCCAGAGTGCAGTATTTTGCACTCAACCCTGCTTAATTTCATTCTGTTGTTTTCAGCCCACTGCTCAAGCCTATCAAGATCATTTTGAATGTTGTTTCTGTCTTCCAGGGTGTTAGCTATTCCACCCAATTTTGTGTCATCATTTGATTAGTATTCCCTCTATCCTCTGATCCAGTTATTCAATAAAAGGTATTCAATATTCAATAAAAATATTGAATAGCACTGGGCTCACTTGCTACCTCCTTCCAGTCTGAGAAGGATCCATTAATCATCACCCTCTGTTCATCATCACCCTTCTGAGTATGATTCTGTAGTCAACTGTGTATCTACCTGGCAATTGTTCTATCCAGCCCACACCTAGTTGCTAATTAGAATATCACAGGGCACTTTGTCAAAAACGTTACTGAAGTCAAGATATACAACGTCTACAGCATTCCCTCTGTCTATCAAGAAGGTTACCCGATCAACAATGAGATCAGATTAGTCTGGCAGGATTTGTTCTTGACAAATCCATCTTGGCTTCTAGTTTACATAGTGGCTGTTTTATAATCTGTTCCAAAATTTTCCCTGGGATTGATGTATGGCTGACAGGTCTGTAGTTTCCCAGGTTTGAATGTACGGCTGACAGGTCTGTAGTTTCCCAGGTTTCTTCCTTTTTGCCCTTTTTGTAGATAGGGGCAACATTAGCTGTCCTCCAGTCACCTGACAGCTGGATTTGTGTATCTTGATTTTTTTTTTGTTTTTCAGTTTTAAATCCTGTGAGCTCCTAGCCCTAAAAAATATGTAATTAATTCTGTACATCCTTTGTTTGGATTCATTGTAGTGTCTGCATGGCCCCTAGAGAGTAATAAGATTATTAGTATTGTTAGTGTTATCATCTGTTCAGACTCACAAATGTTGGGTTGGGGTTTTTTCCTCCTTACTAACCAAATCCATTAATAAGGACATGTTCTGTCACAGGAGCATCTGGCTTGATCAAGTAACTCATAACAGGATTTAGTTCACGCAGCCTTAGAAATGTTAAAAAGTGGGGTGATATTTGATGAATACCACACTCACCGTAATCCAGTTCATGCATTTTTAGATTCCTTGGCATGTATATCTTCTAAAATATCTTATTTCAGGTTTTGGCACGGATGTCAGGATTATAAATATCTGTAGATTGATTTTGAAAATCCCTTTTTCTGTGTTTACACAAAGCACTGTAGTGTATCTAGTATTTCTAATGTCCTTGTTTAACTTGAGAAAATGAATTTACTTTCTTTTTCTTTTAATATACTCCAAACTGGAATAAAAGTGCCGTTGTAGTCCCACTGGTAGGCAAGTTAAACGGATTAAATGCAACTGGTCTCTGTTGTGATTTCCACTTGCATATTTGAAGCTTTTATTCATTCACTCCAAATCTTACACAATATGTGCCTGGTGCTTCCAAAACATGAACACGATTCAAAGTTTAAAATCCTGCTTGGGATTTAAATTTTGGCCTGCTCTCCTTCTGCTCTTTTACTTGCGTAATAGCCATACGGGCAAAGTGATCTTTCCATGCTGCTTAATAGATTGTGAAATGTTTTACATGACTTATCACTTGGAAATTTGTTTATTGAAACAAAAAGCTAGAGTGAAATATGGGGCAAATGCTTACCTAGCAGCACACACAAAATTTTGCCAAGCTTATGACCTTGAAATGTATTGAACTTCTGCTGGCCTGGGGATTATTGGGGTTGCAGCCCCAAATATTAGGAAGGCACTGAGTTGGGGGGAAGCTGAAATGCACACTGGTTTGGATCCAGTAATATGCTTAGATTTGTCCTATTGAAGTCAGTGGGACAAATCTAAGCATAAGGACTTTGGTTATTGGCATGCTTAGAGTTGTCCCATTGCAGTTATAAGGACTTCGCTTATGCATAATCTCCCATTATTAAAAGTGATGAGCTTTCTTGGGGGGGAAAAGGCTAAACACACAAGGAAGACCAGGTGTAAGTCACAATTACCAAGTATATTGTATAGCAGGGCTGAGTTACCCATAGCTGTCTAGATGTGGCACTTGAATTCTGATCAGCCCCATCAGGTCTTGCCACTGTTGAGGAATCGAGGGATTAGCAGATCAGCATTTGAGGACCACTAGATCTCCAACCTGTATTTTCTGGGTTCTCAGCCAAGAGTATGATTACTTCATTTACTGTATATCATGGCTTTCATGTACATGATGGGCAGGCAACCCATGACCCTCCGTATGTTGTTGGACTGTAGCTCTCTCCAGCTGTAATCGATATAACCAATAGTAAGGTGTAATGGGAGCTGAAGCCCAGCAGCATCTGGAGAGCCAGCGTTTGTCAATCCATGTTCTATATGGAACACAAAGCAGGACAGCTCATTCAAGGATGACCAATTATTGACTCAGATGTAGCACTTTCTGTGTTCAGTGCTTTCAGACCAGAGCATGGGACCATAGAGTTCCTAACCTCAACCCTTGACTGTACACGTGACCAAAAGTTCCTCAGTTCTGCTCTACAAAGAACTCTAAATGCTGGTAGAACAGTCTGCAGCATTCTTCTTCCCTAGCGGCGTCTGTGATCTTCCTTATTGAAAGGTCTCATGGTCATCTCTTAGCAGACAAATCTCTACGGATCAACTTACTGCCAAGCCAACTGGGAAGTTCAGTCTGGGCAGGGAAGTGCAACCTCTTTCCATTGAAACTTCTTTGCCTGATGGTTGGTAGGTCACTGGTGGTGTCATATTTTAACCCTACTCAGTGAAATGCCCAGGCATTGAGTGTACTCAGAATATCCCTGATATCTATCTTTGTATTTGGAGCTGTATCTCCAGTGATGCAAGAACCTCAGCTGTTACCTATTTACTTGGTTCCCAGTTGCTGCACTGTGGCCCTAAAAGAAACCACAGTTAGATGTTAAGTGTCTCTGAGTTTTGCAATAGGGATGCTTAAGAGGTGCCTAGAACGTGGTGGTGCTGTGGGCTAAACCACAGAAGCCTTTGTGTGTTGCAGGGTCAGAAGACCAGCAGTCGTAAGATCGAATCCACGTGACAGAGTGAGCTCCCGTCGCTTTGTCCCAGCTCCTCGCCAACCTAGCAGTTCGAAAGCATGTAAATGCGAGTAGATAAATAGGTACCACCTCGGTGGGAAGGTAAACAGCGTTCTGTGTATAGCCACGCTGGCCACATGACAACGGAAACTGTCTTCAGACAAATGCTGGCTCTATGGCTTGGAAACGGGGATGAGCACCGCTCCCTAGAGTCGAACACAACTGACTAAAATGTCAAGGGGAACCTTTACCTTTACCTTAGAACATTCTTAGCAACTTTGCATATAGAACGTCTGTCCTGCCTATCCATAGATTCAACACATTGATAACCAGTGTGAGGAGCAAAACTTTAAATAATGGGTATGGATGATGTTTCTTTCCCCTGGCTGCATCAATAATTGTGGAACATTTGCTTGTACAATCATGATGGAATGTTGTAACTGTAGAAAGCTTTCTTCTCTCTCGTGTTTTGAGAAAGGAAGGATTTCTCCCTCATTATAGGATTCTTTACTGGAGCTGGGTTTCTTACTCCTGTATTGATAAATGTGATTTTTCTTGTATTGAAAAACAAGTGAAATAGCCCTGAAGGATTGGGTATTGCCACTTGCCCAGACGTGCAGAAAAAGATGTATATGGCTTTAGTGTGAATCTGATTATTCTTTTCCATCTTCCTGCAATAGTTGAGCTTGTTTAGAAAAAATGGGGGGGGGGATAGATACATTTCATAAATAATGTATATATATATAAACAAAAATCGAACAGTTCTTCAGTTGGTTAAAGCTTTCAAATGTAGAGCTAATTGAAGGTTTCTTTAGAATGTTTCTTTAATTATTTGATTTATTTAGGGTCATGGTATTTATTTCATCCAACGAGACATACTAAGGAGGTGCTACACCTAACATATACCTAAAACTAAACCACGGTTTAACATGGTAGGATATAACTCAGACTCACATGCCATTTCTTTCTTTGTAGTGCTGAAGAGGAAGGTGATGCTTCTGCTCCCATGTTAGATCGTGTTTATATATATTTATGATTAAGTAAAGTTATCTTCGAATTTTCAGCTATGGCTAATTATAGCTGTCGTTGAAACGAGCAACCTTCTTATACCATGGTTTGAAATTGGCCTGTTTCAGCCAGAACTAACTACACTTCACCCTGTTTAAATGAGATGACAAACTTTGGTTGTTATAAATCTCAAATAGAACTGAAAGCATGTGAACTGCTTCTGATATACAGTGGTACCTTGCAAGACGACGACCCCGCTAAATGACGAATCTGCATAACAATGACTTTTTGCAATCGCTATAGCAATTCGCAAAACAGTCACTCCAATGGGGGATTTTCGCTGGACGTTGATTAGGTCCGTGCTTCACGAACCGTTTGTTCGCAAGATGGCGATTTTTTCCGCTGATCGTCGGATTCGCAAAATGGCTTCCCTGTGAGCGATCTTCGCTGGACGGCGAGGTATTTTCCCCATTGGAACGCATTAAACCTGGTTTCAATGCATTCCGATGAGGAAAGGGTTTTCGCATGATGATGATTTCGCTAAACAGCTATTTCAGTGGGACGGATTATCGTCGTCATGCGAGGCACCACTGTATATTAAGGCTGAGGCTTTCAGAATTCCGAAACTTCCAGTCCAGGAACTCCCAGGCAACTATAAACGAGAAGACAAAAAGATAGATCTTTCTGCTGCCATTTTCCCAGAAAAAAGGAAGGGGTGGGTGGGTTCTGAGCCACAAGTAGAGGCCGAACCATTAAAATAAAAAAACACACACAAAACACCTCATGTCGAGTCTGAGTTGAGTCACCAGTGCTACTTAAGTCTGACTTGACAGTGAGTCCTGTGACTTAAGTCCCCATCCCTGCTTGTGTGTTGGTATTATGTCTATCCCAGTCTCAAGACAGGACACCCAAAAACTGAGGTCTCTGTTCTCATTATATTGCCTGTTTAAATCCATAACTCTTTTTCTTGAAATAGAAGAAATTTCTATATTATCGTATGGTCGTGATAGTGCAGTGTTCTCTACTCTCATTTTCAGAAGCTCTGCAAGGTTTTGAGCAGAGATCTTTCCTGGCTGTGCTGCTTGAGATCCTCAGCTGAAAGCATCCGTATTATACAGGGCCTTCTGCATCCAAAGCATGTACTCTACTGATTTATTTCGCCTTCCTAATATCTTTGGTGGTAAACGTGAGCTGGAATAATGCCATCTCAGCTTCTCTACAGGTGGGATGTCTATAGGACAGGCTGGTGATGCTTCTTTGTTGGCGCGTTGTGTCCATTAGTGACCTGAAGTTGGTTCTCTTCCCGCATCTTCCCTCCAATCTGCAGTAAAAGAAATGCACTTTTCTTTTTACATTTCAGTGCAACTGCTAAAATGTCATCATTCATTCTTGTTGAAATATTAAGAAGTGCAGAGAAAAGCTAGACATGCTGCTGAATTACTTTTGTTTCTCAACCTTGGAGGCTTCATCTGTAAAATGCCATAAGGTTATAGTGTTTCACAGTCAGCTCTTTGGAGGCATTATTAGCCATGGAGTTAACAATCTTGTAGGCATTATGTTTTGAAAGGAGTGCATTACTAGGCTCAACATTAACCTGTCCATCAAAGAAGCTTTTGCTGGGCAAAGAATTAGCTGCTATGCAAACTTGAACACATTCATTTCAGCCTGACAGTGATGGGTCTACGTGCCTAGGAGGACTTTTTTCTTTTAATCTCTTTTCCCAAGTTTTTAGAACATCTGCTCACTTTCTGTTTTTATGTTACCCAAACAATTTTTTCCAGCTGAATCAACAGCTCATGGAGTAAATGCCTATCTCCGTTATCTATATCAGTGGTCCCCAACCTTAGGCCTCCAGATGTTCTTGGGCGACAACTCCCAGAAGCCTTCACCACCACCTCTTTTGGCCAGGATTTCTGGGAGTTGAAGTCCAAGATCATCTGGAGGCCCAAGGTTGGGGACCACTGATCTATATGGCTGCAGATCTCTGATGCTTCAGGCAGAATTCTTTACTAGCTTACCTGGATTTCTCTTCTCTGGTGATCTTCCCTTATGGCTGCGGGTCTCTGATGCTTCAGGCAGAATTTTTTACTAGCTTAACTGGATTTCTCTTCTCTGGTGATCTTCCCTCTAAGGTCTGACCAGACCTAATCCTTCTTGGCTTCCAAAATTCAAAGAAATTGAATAGATACAGATTGAGAGTGGCATAATACTTGGAGTGTTGGTTTATGACTTGGCAATCCTTTTTATTTCTTCTTCATCAACTTCCCTTTGTCTCACTTTCTTGTTGTTACAATCCAGTGCCCAAAGAGTGATCATTTTTTCCTTTTTTACTGATAGGTTTCAGCAAAGATAGGAAGATTGGCTCACCTTGTTGTTATAATCCAGTGCCCAAAGAGTGGTCATTTTTTCCTTTTTTACTGATAAGTTTCAGCAAAGATAGGAAGATTGGCTCACGAGCTTCATTTCAAACCTGTTTTCTTTCCTATTAACAAAATCAGAGAAATGGTTCATCCACTTAAAGATGCTCTGGGACTCAGAGTCCTGGGCATTTATCAAGTACCATGTTGCTGTGGTCAAGCATCTATCGGCCAGAGTGGAAGATCTGTTACAGAGAGAATATCAGAACATTCACAATAAATTACCTCAGCTTGAAATATCTAGAATGGCTGAACATTGTATCAAATATGGTCATCAGCCTCAATGGAATCAGGTACAATTATTGGCCAAAACCAGGCAATTGATTGCTTGATTGCTTGAGTGAGTGATTGAGTGATTGAGTGATTGAGTGATTGATTGCATTTATACCCCACCTATCTAGTTGAATGACCACTCTATTTTGGGATGGAATTATTATTGAGGCTCTTTTGATAAATGTTTAGCCATATTTCACAGCCGCTCAGAGTGGTCGCATAGACCAGATGGGCGGGATACAAATCAAATCAAATCAAATCAAATCAAAGCAAATCAAATCAAATCAATCAATCAATCAATCAATCAATCAATCAATCAATCAATCAATCAATCAATCAATCAATCAATCAATATTCCATCAACAGAGATACAGTAGTGGTCTTCCATTGAGTGCTTTCTGGAATCCATTGTTTTGTAAACTGGATATTAGGTTGCCCTAATATAATGCTGATGAATGTGGGAGGCTGGTTCTTTAATGTTAATCTGTCTGGGCTTGGTCTGAATGCCCACCCAGATGGTTTTGATTGTATCTGGAGGTATTTAAGGTTAGCTTTGTTTGAGTTGATATCTTGCCTTCCCTAATAAAGATGGCACAGGGTATTGCCATCAAAAGCTTGGACTATTCTAACAATCAACAGGAATTGACATGACTGGAAACCCGTGAGCTGTTTACACAAAGCATTCATCATGAAAGACTGAGATTTTTAAAGGTGTAGGATTGTTTCCTAAACTGTAGTGGATTCATTTTTGTTTTTTGAATGTGGAACAATTTTAAATTGCTGCAACATATAGTCAGTAGCTAGTTGTATCTGCGAAATCTGTGCCTGGCAAATAACATGCTGTGTGTGATGGAAAAGAATGCAAATTATGAAGGCCTGTATCGCAATAAATGTGCATATACAGTGTGACAAGAGTTTTCCATCTGCAGAACTTCACCTCTTTCCCCATCCAATTTTGTGCAGGTAAATACCACCTTTCTCCAACTGTAAACATGCCCCAAGATGACATGGTCATTATAGAAGATGATAGACTGCCAGTACTACCTCCACATCTTTCGGATCAATCTTCTTCCAGTTCCCATGATGACGTGGGCTTTGCAACAGTGGATGCTGGAGCATGGAGTAAACCAACAATTAATGAGTCCACAGAATGGTAAGGTTTACATCCTTGCACATTGTTACTATGGGTTATCAAACTCTTCATGCTACATGAAGCTGTTGTAGTTGTCCTTCCTGAACAAGGAGTAAAGCTCTCTCTTTTTTTAAATTGTCCCATTCTTTTCTTTGTTCCTATCTGAAAGAAAGCAAGTAAGCCAGTGTCTTCTTGGAAGTTTCTCCTGACCAAAAGCAAAAGAACTGCTCAACTGAATGTAGGCTACCAAGGATGCTTTGGACCAGAGAGAAGTCACTTTTTGGGAGTCCAGCTCCAGAACAACTGCACTGAATTCTGGGAGCTGTAGTTCCCAAAAGCATTCCATTTCCCTGCTGTCATGTGGAGTTATGTCTCTTGAACACCCCCATGCTTTCTTGAACACCAACCTCCCCATCCTGGAAGGCTTTTGAAAGTGAGCTTAGTTTTTAAAATAGTTTCCCAGGTAGAGAGTACTCAGGTTTACCATTTCCTTCATCTGGAGATGCCCTGGGGACCACACAGGATGGCTTTTCTGTGATGGACAGCGGGGAATTGAATTTACAACCCATGTAATTCACAGAGCTATCCAGCTAGCTTTCCCCCCACTTTTTTCTTTAAAAGCTGCTGTTTTGTGTTTATTGTTTAGCATATTACATTTCTGTGCTATCTTGGTCTCTTCCATAATGTTCTATGGGCAAGGAAAACAGCCTTTTCCATATATGCCATGGCTGTTTCCTTCATTTACTTTGGCTGAGTAATTAAAGGAGGCAAGTTGATTCAACCCCCTCAATAGTTGTTAAACACTAGATCTTCAGTATTAAACCATGGAACTTTCTTGGTTTCTTCTTTTGTGCTTAGAAACACCTCCCAACCATTCATTTCCCTTCTCCAGTCTCATCCTGTTGCTCTGGCAGAGAGACTATGAACAAAGAAAGCAGATTTCCTTACCTGTACTTGAGGAAGTGTAGCAGTCACCTTTGCATTAACACAAGCCGCCAGCCTCTACCTACGGAAGACGTAGAGAGCACATTTTTGTGGCATATTTAAAGGAAGATAGAAATAGGAGAATCCTCAGTTTCTTCCTCTCAAGGCATGCACAGCTGAAAGAAATCTTCCCCTTATAGAAAAGAGGCATAAATATCAGCTGCTGGACATGGAGCTCTAAACATTTCTTAACACTGGCTCAAGTACAAGGAAACGCAGAAATGGGGAATATCACCTCAGAGAATGAAACCTACAGAAAAAGAGGCTTTTACATGTTTTGGTTTGTTTGCCACCTTCTATAGGATAAATATTATTTGGACTTCAGATAGCTGCTATCTGTAGTAATCAAAGAGAACACCATTAATTTGTAAACCTTGTAATTATGTTGAGGAATAAACAAAAGAAAAGAATTCTCTGTGGAACCCCTGCTAGGGCTGTGGTAATAATTAGTACAAGCAGGTTGAAGTTGGAGTGTTTTCCAAGTCCCCATGCTCTCTTGGGTCTGATACAACCGTGTCAGCAGTATCTTAACAAGAATTAGAACCAGCAAATATCTCTTTGTTTAGATTTGTACGAGTCAGCTATTTCACACACATACTCTCTCACACACACACTCACTGATATAGTGTGGGTTAGTGCTCAGTGGCATTGCTCTTATCCTGCCTTTAAAAAGCTTTTAATTGCTATATAAAAGCCAGCTCCTTCCTTCTCCACATGCTTTCCCCCCTGTATCTTTTGAATGCTAAACCTGTGCAACTGTGGTTTCAACTCTTTGGATGTCCATCATTGTCTCTGTATGGGAGGCACTTCAGAGCTAGAAATCTGAGGAGTAAGGGTGAAAATATTGAACAGCACACCAAATTCAGTGTAATTGCTTGTGTCAGTTTGGAAATTTCCAGCAAACAGGGTAAGAAACTGCAACAGAATGCAAAAGCACATTTGTTAATGCTTTTACATGTCCTACTATAGAATATTTTATTCCTTATGCATTTTGCTAAGATGGGAAGGTGAGTGCAGAACTATTAAGAAAACACAAAATTTCTTCTGTGGCCACCTTCACGTCCGCCTTCTGAAAGGCTCAGCAATATAATTGAAAAAAAAATCCATTTAGAGCCTTCTCTTTTTTTGTGCAGACTACATTCTATTTGTTAAAAAATAAACCCAGTAAAATAAAATAAACAGCAGTAGGGAGTAGATTTTTGTATTAATTTCCTGCTGCTAATGGACAAAGGAGAGCTTGTAAAATGGAGGTGTATTCATTGAGTTTTGCTGCAAGGCTTCAAGGGGTGAAGTTAAGAATATGGACGAAGGGTTATCCAAACAAGAATGGCAGCTGTTCTGAATCACGGCTGAAAATGTAAGCTTTTTCCAGCCTGACAATATCTCCCTAATCCTTGATGAAAATGTTATGAAAACACAAGGACAATGAGACAGGATTAATAAGTGGAATTTTAATAACATTGAGGGTCACAATACGGTTACATTCTTTAAAGAGTCAACTGTGTTTCAGGAGCCTTAGTTGTTATAATACATTTTGCTGCTTGTTGGTTTACTGAATTACAATCACAATAGTGAGAAGGTGGCTTTAGCATCAGTTTGGAACATTACTAACAGTGATGTGGGGAGCTTTTCAGCTACAGCCAGTGTTTTCCTTTGTTTTTGTTTTTGTTTTTCAAAAAATGCAAGCATTTCTGCTTCAGAGCTTTTCAGCTACAGCCAGTGTTTTGCTTTGTTGTTGTTTTTTCAAAAAATGCAAGCATTTCTGCTTCTTGAATTTCTCAACAAATTGTTACTATTTGGGATGTATGCTGCACCGTAAAGTGCAGTGCACCTCAGTTAATTGCTGATGACATTTTCAATAAATCATGGGCTTGGAATTCAAGATATAACCTCTAGAAGTGGGACTTTTTGAGCCCACTGAAATTTAGTGCTCTCCAGTTAAGGAGGTGAGCCTGAAACACAATGAGGGAAAACCTTTGCGTCTTAATAGATACCTGTCCAGCTTCAGTCAACAGGGTCACCCAAACCAGGATCCAGTGTACATTGAACTATTGAACCAAGCACATTAGAAGGTGGTTATAAGAAGACCTGGAGGTTTTCATATTCAGGTTTCAAGAAAAGTGATCAACAGCCGATGAACAGCATTAGTCTAGTATGCTCTGGTCCCCTTGGTTCCCACAGCTATTAAAGGTGTCATTTTACACAAGCTGAAGGGTTTTTTTTGGCTGCATTGTGGTTGACGTAGGAACTATTGAACCAAGCACATTAGAAGGTGGTTATAAGAAGACCTGGAGGTTTTCATATTCAGGTTTCAAGAAAAGTGATCAACAGCCGATGAACAGCATTAGTCTAGTATGCTCTGGTCCCCTTGGTTCCCACAGCTATTAAAGGTGTCATTTTACACAAGCTGAAGGGTTTTTTTTGGCTGCATTGTGGTTGACGTAGCAGAGGCAGTGTTTTTTGGGTTTTTTTGGCTGCATTGTGGTTGACGTAGCAGAGGTGAGTGGAATGAACTTTGACAAGCAGAGCAAGGGGCAAAAATGGGTTTTCATATAAATGCACACATAGAAAGAGAGAGGCAAACATCTGCCTGCAGCAGAAAGGGAACACAGGTGGGGCTCTTGTGACCCCCTGATAAGGAGGCAGATAGGAATGGCCTGGCTGGAAGAGCCTGAACCAGCAGTGGGCAGTGCTATGCATGTCCAAAAAACCAGCCCCTACTGCTTAAAAGCCCCCGTTTAAATGAGTTACAGGAGCCCACTGAGATAACAGAACAGATTATTCTTGCTAGCATTGGCTTCCCAGAAAATTAAACACCTGGCAGCAGTACTCAAAGCTTGTACAAGATACCCCTAGTTCTCACTATGGTGTGAGCAGCAGTAAAATAAAGGGAATCCCATGAGCTTCAGTGTTCCATTTCCAGGGAAATGCAATGCAAAGGAGTGCCTTTCTAGTAGATTGTAAACATAAACTTAAACAAGGCTGGGCATCTATTTCTGGATCAGCTACCCGATCAGTTGATATTTCCACACAGGATGGAAGTATTATCAACTGATTGAGTAGCTGATCCAGAAATAGATGCCCAGCCTTGTTTAAGTTTATGTTTACAATCTACTAGAAAGGCACTCCTTTGCATTGCATTTCCCTGGAAATGGACATCAAATTGCTTCCAATGTATGGTGATCCTAAGTGGTTTTTTGTGGGATGTGATATTTTCAAGCTTTGGTTTACTATTGCCAATCTCATGCCCATGAGTTTCCATAATAAACTTCAGATTTTAATCTAGATGTCCCAAGTCCTAGTCCAATCAATACTCTATCCAGTCTACCATACTGGCTGTTTTACCTACTTTCTTACCTAAATTCAATTTAAGAGATGTTCTCCATCAGACTTTTATTCCTGTAAATTCAAGGTCTTGGGTGCTTTCTGGGTTGATGACTTTGACTTGGCATCATCATTCACACCAAATGTTTGACCCTTATCAATAATTATGCATATGATATTAAGAGGACCGAAACTTTGTTTGGAAGAGAATTATGCTGAAGTGAAAATATTTGTGCATCCCTTTGAAGTTGAATAGACAAGAGAGAATGCTTTATCACAACTTGTGAATACATGTGAGAGATCTCAATTCTTAAAAGTATATAGTTGTCCTTATGGATTGATTTTGATTTACTATTAATTGTCTTCCTCCTATTTCCATCTATGTGTATATCATTGTCTAGTGTTAGCAACTCTCTCCCTCTTTTCATGTACTCTAATTAGTGTCAGAATTATGGCCAGACTAATCAAGGTCCAAATCCCCATTCAACCTTGAAGCTCCTTAGATAACACAGAACCAGTTACTTTTCCTAAGCCTAGCCTGCATCTAGAGATTGGTAGGATAAAATATCCTGCCTTTCAGGATAAAAACTCCCAAGGTGGCTTGTAATGCATAGAATAAACAATCACAAAATTGCCATCATCCGCTAATTAAACCCACAATAAATGGATAGCAGGTAGAGCCTATCATTATAGTTCAGCTAAAAAATTGAAGCATTTCACAATCATCAGCATCCTAAAACCATTAGGGAAAAGTAAATCTAGAATAAATTGGGGGTTTAAAAGCTTATTTGAATCCTGGTCCGAAGAGCCGTTATTACCTTGATAGATAAAAAAAATTGCAGAAGCATGAATCTACCACTGAAAAAGCAACCTAATGTTTTTTATTTGGCGGGGATATTAAGAGGGCATAAAAAGCAGATCTCAATATGTGTTCAGGTTCATATGTGTGAAGATGTTCCTTGGAATAGAAAGGCACCCACCGGCAGGAGTGTCACAGCTTGGCAAAGTTAACTGCTTGGGATGATAAATATAAGCCAAAAAGACTACCTTGCCAAGCTTCCGTGTGTGTGTGTGTGTGTGTGTGTGTGCGCGTGCGTGCGTGTGTGCGTGTGTGTGTGTGTGTGTGTATGTGTGCATGTGTGTATGTGTGCATGTGTGCATGTGCGCGCTGTGGAGCATTGGAAGTCACTTATTTTTAATGTTGTGGGAGACTGATATTTTAGGCAAATACATGATAGCATAACTGTGATAAATGTATGATTTGGGGATCGTTTTTTTCTCTTCTTTGCAGCACGCTGAGTCCAGATGTTGATCCAGCGCTTGCCTTCCAGCGAGAGGGATTTGGACGCCAGAGCATGTCAGAAAAACGCACAAAGCAGTTTACAGATGCCAGCCAGTTGGACTTCGTTAAGACACGGAAATCCAAAAGCATGGATTTAGGTACTGAGTTGAGACCTCCCTCCCTTCTTCCCTCCTTTCCTCCCTCCCTCCCTCCCAAGAAGTACATTATCTTATTTCAACAATATTTCCCCAGGTCACAAATGTTTGCAACGTATATTGTTGGTAGTGCCAAACAGTTGATTTGCCCATGCAACTGGATTCATTATATAGCATGAAGATTTCTTCATGCAGCCTCAACAAAAAGTACATTATGTACTTTTAATACTTCAGATGTTCTGATTGTGGGAAGGAATGCTACAGACAGTGGTTTAGTGTTTGGTCTGATGTGCATGTCTATAATTTGGTACTTGTTATGAGCTAGGGACGTGGTGGCACTGAGGGTTAAACCGCAAAAGCCTCTGGGCTGCAAGGTCAGAAGACCAGCAGTCATTAGATCGAATCCACGCAACGGAGTGAGCTCCCGTCGCTTGTCTCAGCTTCTGCCAACCTAGCATTTAAAAAATAGGTAAGGTAATGGCATTCCGTGTCTAGTCGCGCTGGCCACTTGACCATGGAAACTGTCTTTGGACAAACGCTGGCTGTATGGCTTAGAAACGGGGATGAGCACCGCGCCCTAGAGTCGGGCACGACTGGACTAAATGTCAAGGGGAACCTTTACCTATGAGCTAGAAAGCCCCAAAATTTTAGTATTTAAAAATAATTTTTAAGCAACTGACACTTGGTCATTTATATATATATATTGGATTGATAAGGCTTCACATTTAGAGAAGGATTGTAACATAACCTGAAGCATCTTATAAGGCTTCACATTTAACGAAGGATTGTAACATAACCTGAAGCATCTTAGAATATTTGAGTTTTTTTCTAACCTATGTGGTCTAACAGTCCATTCCTAGTGATAAATTAGTTCAAAGTCCCCATTTCTTTTAGTAAGATACGCCGTTGACTGGACCTCTGCTAGCGTTTATAGTCTGATATCTTCATGAATGGAAGTGGGGACCTAACCAAATAAACCACATTGCATTGTGGTACCACACAATGAGTTCAGATGCAAATCAAGCCATGCAACATTGTCCCTTGTGATTGGCAGCATAACATCTTTGGAACTGCGGGCTTTTTGCACTTTGAGTTCCAGGTCATGTCCAGTCCCTTCCACTCTGGCCTCAGTCCTGGTTCCTGCTGATCTTCAGATCCAACAGTGGACACCAGGATAACTCAGTTTGAACCTTGTACCGTATCTGCATTTAGGTCCAGCTACCGTACTCTCCACTGACACATAAGCTTCCTCAAATAATATAGGAAGCTGCTTTGTACTGAATGAGAATTTTGACCCAACTAGCCGTGTGCTACTAACTCTCAGAGGTAGCACCTTTCCAGAGATTCAGGCAGGATTGATTGACCTGATGATATTGAGAATTGAAATCCTTTTGCGTGCAAAGCATATGTTCTAACCTCTCAGAGGCAGCACCTTTCCAGAGATTCAGGCGGGATTGATTGACCTGGTGATATTGAGAATTGAACTGAGATCCTTTTGCGTGCAAAGCATATGTTCTAACCACTCAGCTACAGCCTCTCCCCAAAATTCTACAGGCCCACCCCTTTAGAACTGTCGCCTGCAAGGCCTCACTTCCTAATGTGTGATATTTTTTTCCATCTACAAATTCTCAGGCAGTAGCCATGCGAGTCTTTTAAAAGCAAAACAAAGTGTTGTTGTGGCCCAAAAGGTTTGCTCTAACAGAAGTCATTTCATGAAACGGGCACTGGCCATTTTAAAGGGTTCTGTGCCGAGCTAATGAAGCAGTATAGTCAGTTTTTTGGGGGGAAAAGTGACATGTAGGTTCTTGTGATGACAGGCAAGTTAAATGGAGTATCGTACTTCTGAAAACTGAAATCGGGTACCACTTAACAGAAATGACACTCGCATAGCAAGAGCAATATTCTTTCAAACATGTACAGCATGAGCTGCCCGACTCAGCAAAGGAATGTGGAAACTAATCATGTATTCTTGCACATCCATGTGCTCAGGGATCATGTTAAATGAAGTAAGCAATGGCCATTCAAACACCCCATTTAATAGTTCAGACAGCAGCAACTAGATCTTTAACATCTCTTATGGGAGAGAATTCATGGGCTTGGGTAGGTGTTTAAAGTACAAGCAAAATGTTCTAAAATATAGAAAGTGTTAGTTTTGCCAGAGAACTAAAGTGGGTTCTTTTAAAACTCAGGTCCCCAGTTTCAGATGTGTGTTGGCTAATTGTGATGTGCTAGCATGTGCATAATGTGTTGGGCTTGCCTGTGATTTGGAAATGACTGACACAATGCATGGTGGTCACTAGGTTTGTGACCCGGACTTTAGCCCCATCCCCCTTTTAAGACTGTCTACATAATATTGCCTATTTGCATGAAGAGTGATGTTGCCAGTGTCCTCTAACTTGAAAGAGAAAATAAATACTGGATGCATGTGGGACATGGGCACTAACAGGGCTAACCTTTATACATTTACCTTTTAACAGTAGCTGACGAGACTAAGCTCAGTACAGTGGATGACCAGAGAACAGGTAAGACCTGACTGTAGGGTGGTTGCCATAGAAACCTTGGTCAAAGCTGCTTACCACAATTACAGAACTGCCAGTCACACTGCATGGAAAAATAATATTTTAATAGTTGCATGACTTTCTCTGTTTTTCCCCCCCTCTTGCAAAAATCCAGATATTATGAAATGCTATCATTATTTTTACACTTATTATAGAATGATAGCAAGGCTGAGTAAATTTTAGGTGAAGCAAAATAAGTCCAGGAATGACATTCTCAAAATACGGTGCTTATAAAACACTATTTCCGAAAGCTTTTTTGTAACAGGTATTTTTGGGGAATACCCTTGGCTTTATGCAGAATATCTTAGGAAGTCCTGAACGTTTCCCTGCCAGACTTTTAACATGTACTTTTCACCACAAAAAGTCTGTCACTCTTGGATATACACCTAGGGTCATGGCCAAAAACATTGCCACCCTTTCAATTCTGTCAGAAAATGAAACCTTGCTCTCAGAAGATTGTTGCAAATGTTTTGGTACTCACATGTTCATTTCTTTGGTTTGCATTGGAACAACACAAAAAAACAGAGAGGAAAAGTCAAATCTGATAAAATCCCACACAGAAACCCAAAAATGCACTGGCCAAAATTATTGGCACCCTTAACTTAATATTTGGAAGCACCCCCTTTGGAAAAGAATAACTGACATCAATCACTTCCTGTAACCATGAATGAGTTTCTTATACCTCTCTACTGGAATTTTGGACCACTCTTCTTTTGCAAACTGCTCCAGAGCCTTCAGATTTGAAGGATGCCTTCTCCCAGCTACTGTTTTGAGATCTCTCCACAGGTGTTCTATGGGATTCAGATCTGGACTCATTGCTGGCCATTTCAGAACTCTCCAGTGCTTTGTTTGTAACGATTTCTGAGTGCTTTTTGAAGTGCGTTTCGGGTCATTGTCCTGCTGGAAGACCCATGACCTCTGGAGATGCAGCTTTCTGACACTGGCCACTATGTTGCATCCCAAAATTTTTTGGTAATCACCAGATTTCATGATACCATTCACACAGTCAAGGCATCCAGTGCCAGAAGCAGCAAAGCAACCCCAAAACATCTTTGAACTTCCACCATGTTTGACTGTAGGGACTGTGTTCTTTTCTTTGAATGACTCATTTCTTTTTCTGTAAACAGTGCCATGATGTCCTTGACCAAAAAGCTCTACTTTTGTCTCATCTGTCCACAGTACCTTCTCCCAGAAGGATTGTGGTTTTGTCACATAAGTTTGAGCATACTCCAGTCTTGCTTTTTTATGCCTTTGTGTCAGCAGTGGTGTCCTCCTGAGTCTCCTTCCCTAGCACCCCTTTTGATTCAGATGGTGACAGATAGTGTGAGCTGACATTGTTGTACCCTGTATCTGTAGATCAGCTTGAATTTGTTGGGAAGTTAATCTGGGTTCTGTATCAACCATTCGAACAACCGTTCATTGTAATTTTGCTCTTCCATCCATATCCAGGGAGGTTAGCTACAGTGCTGTGGGCTATAAACCTCTTGATGATATTGCACACAATAGACACAGGACCATTAAGATCTCTGGAGTTGGACTTGTAGTCTTGAGATTGTCAATGTTTTTCCACAATTTTTTCTCTCAGATCCACAGACAACTCTTTACTCTTCATTCTTTTCTCCATGCTCAGTGTCACACACAACACAAAGGTTGAGTCAACTTTTCTCCATCTTAACTAGTTGCAAGTGTGATTACTATATTGCCCACACCTCTTATTTGCTACAGGTGTGTCTGAATACTAATTAAAAGAGCATCATATGTTTGAAGAGCAATTATTTCTTACAATTTAGACAGAGTGCCAATAATTTCGGCCAGTGCATTTTTTGGCCAGTGTGTGGGATTGTATCAGATTTGACTTTTCTTCTCTCTCCTTTTTTTTTGTTTTTGTTTTAATGCAAACTAAAGAAATGAACATGTGAGCACCAAAACATTTGCAACTGCAACAATATTCTGAGAGCAGGATTGCATTTTCTGACAGAATTACAAGGGTGCCAATAATTTTGGCCATTACTGTAAATGGAAGTTTCTATTTTTGCACCATGTTGGCTATCTGATATCGTGGGACTCCATTTAGACTGCTCACCCAGTGTTTTCCTTTTTCTGTGAAGAGAATCTGGTAAATTGGATGTGTGCTGCAAGCCATGCATTGTAGACATTTTGCTTTTTGTATAATGCTCATGATGCCGACTTCGAAAGCATGAATTTATTAGCAATTAAAATAATGCAGCAGCTGCAATTAGGGGGCTTTGTAATTTATTAATGCAACTTAGCTTTTGACTTTTGGAATGTTGTTTTAATTAGGGTAGATCTAGAGGACACTGTAACATTCCGTACAGAGAAGCAGTAACATTACTTAGTTCTAATTAGGGATGATTCACCTCTGAATCCTGAAAATATTATTTATTTTTAGCATGACTCATTGAATAGGGCACCCCACGGACACTGATTATTAATTTTTTTAAAAATTGCTCTCTGTTTAATCAGATTGTGAAATATAAACAGCCAACTGGAAAATTGTACTTAAAAGAATGGGTGGCATTCAAGCACTTATAAAACATCTAAAATAACTCAAAAATTTAAGTGAGCTATCCCAGTCTTGCAGTGACTCGCATGCATACATTATATCCTGAGATTAGTCACGTTAAATGGCATTTATCAAAATGTGCTAAGTTTAAATGTGTTTTTGCTTTATAGGATTGGTTGATCTCTGCAGAATTAGATTTCTGTTATTCAGGCCTGAAAGCTGACAGGAATGAATCTAAAGTGACACGAGGCAATGCTAATTTATCAAAAATGAATATTAATTCTCTTACTTCCTGATCCCATGCTCTTATGCTCCATTTTTTGCCTGCGAGACTATCACCATGGCCTCACTGGTAGAATAAGATTCTTGTTTTATAACATTGTGCTTCTTTGTACACTCACCCAAGCTCTTAACATGTTTACACCATACATTTCTTTTTCTAATTCATATCCTATAGCATAGGCTATTGTGTGGCTTTTTTGCTTGTTTGTGGTACATCTCTTAGCAAACCCAAAGTTCCTCAGTACATCTTTGTATTCTTCCCAGATCTTCCTTCCTTTAGCCTAATGTCACATTTCCACAGTCATCTTTGGCACACTCCATACATAGGGTAAGGGAACTTCCCATTTTCAGGTCTGCTTCTGTTTGTGAGAATGTGACACATTCCATGTGGAACCCTCCATTAATAGCCGTGAAGACACACTTGACTTACAGGGCCACGACCCCAAGCCACAAACCACCTGGGCCAACCAAGATAAACATTTGGTGACTCTCTAAGTAAACACATTTTAATGTGATTCTTTCCCCCTTCACTTGATGCATAGCAGATTTCACATGTAACCTCTAGAGTTTCCTGTTCTCAAAAGCTGGAATACTGAATGAACCTGTGTTACCAGTTCTTTTATATTTTTTTTTAAAGGCACCCCAGCCATCTTGGCTATGAAAGATAAATGTGTTGTAAAACGTATTTCATTGAAATATATAAACTGCAGACTTTATTTCCATTGGCAGAGTAAACTTGAACCCATTTAAAAACTGCAGTTGGGTTTAATTGTGTTGACCCCACATGGAAAATAAGGTTCTCTTCATGACAGAATCTACTGTTAATAGATTTTAAAATTATTTTTCTTTCTTCAGTTCACTTGAATTGCCTAATCTTTGCCAGTGTTTACAGTTCATTCCAAAGGTCAGAAGTATATTCAGTAGCAACTGAGTATGGCTCATTTATTCAGCCTTAAGCGCACAGTAACTATGATGGGTTATTTCCATATTCACCTTGTCATCATGCTAACAGGAGGTCCAGAGAAACAAAAAGGCATATTAAAAGGACATGATGTTCATGATAGCCATTCGTCGGTCCTACTTTTGGAGGAGTTAATGATGTTGTTCAGTAACAGATATAATTGCAATTTTAGGAATCTTCCCCACCCCATCAAAATATTGTTCCTTTGCCATGTAGAAGTATTAGATAGAACAGCTTATGTTGAATTATTGACCCATGAACACTATTCATCTAGTTTCACTGATATCAATTAGTGTATCATTTTCCTAAGCTTCAGGGTGTGAAACATTTGATCTAGAATGTCCATGATGATCAAATGCCCCTGCAGTGCTAATCAGAAACCATGCCTAGAAAACTGTGATCAGCAAATGCATTTTGAGGGAGTCAGGGGGGAGCAATAATATAGTACAGTGGTTCCCAACCTTTTTCAAGTTGCGACCCATTTTTATAATAGCCAAGTAACTTGCAACTGCCAAGTAACCTGCCCACTGCCATAGTTGTATCCATGATGATCAAATTCCCCTGCGGTGCTAATCAGAAACCATGCCTAGAAAACTGTGATCAGCAAATGCATTTTGAGGGAGTCAGGGGGGAGCAATAATATAGTACAGTGGTTCCCAACCTTTTTCAAGTTGCGACCCATTTTTATAATAGCCAAGTAACTTGCAACTGCCAAGTAACCTGCCCACTGCCATAGTTGTATAAAAAGGCATTTTTAATGGGGGAAAGTCATCCCTTCTCAGAAAGAAGAGGCTTCTTTCTCCCCCTCAAAGAGCCTGTTTCTCATACATACATCTGTCAGATCTGCTTTGACTGGGATTCCTGCATGGAGCAGGTGGTTGGATTTGATGGCCTTACAGGCCCCTTCCAGTTCAATGATTCTGTGAGTCTATAGACATACAGTGGTGCCTCGCTTGACAAGGATTGAGTCTATAGACTACAGTGGTGCCTCGCTTGACAAGGATAATTTGTTCTGTTCAAATCATTGTTAAGCGAAATCCTTGTCAAGCAAAACGAAAAAGCCCATTGAAATGCATTGAAAACCGGTTCAATGTGTTCCAATGGGCTAAATACCTCATCGTAAAGTGAAGATCCTCCATAGGGCGGCCATTTTCTTGTGCCTATATAGCGAGGAATCCATCCTCAAGCACAGCGGGG